CGACGAGATGAACCCCGGTTTCTTCCCTCATACATTATAGCTGAGATGACGGGTAAATCGAAACGTCCCGTCAGTCGCGTCGTTCTGACTTCGGACACGCATCAGTCATCGACTGGCTGTCTTCGAATGCGAAACGTCGCGCATTAATTACTTTTTACCCTATAAAAGCCTCAACCCTTTTCACTTCTTCCACTTTCTAATTCTAGACTTTATCTTCCAACATTCTAACGGCTTTTAACTTCTCCATGTCTTCATACATTGTTCATTGAGCCTTCATATCTTCATCTGCATCTTCATACATCTTCTTTCAACCTTCATCTCAGACCTTTATACCTTTATACCATCTTCAAATCATTATATTTTTCTTCAGACCTGTATTTTTCATATATTAATGGCAAAAACTTTGAAGTCAGTGCATCAGCAGGCTGCCCCTTCATCTTCCCACCCGGTCGTAGATGCCGAGGTGGCCATTTCTGAAGTGGCTCAGGAGCCCCCCATGAAGAGCTTCGTACCCGAGGGATGTTCTATCGGGGACAACTTCAAGGTCAAGAAGGCCTCTAGCCAACAAGACCGAGGCGAGGGAGCATGGAGATACATATGCTTTGTCACCGAAGAAACCCTATCCGTAGTCCGAGTGGACTGTAAATGGGAGGGTAAGGGCGTGGTCGTTCCTGGGACTGATGATGATATTACCACTCATGTAAAGAGGTATGTGAGTATTTACACTTACCCCTTCATGCTCGCCCCGTTGGACCCCATAGTCCTTGCTTTCTGCAAAAATTACGAGGTGTGCCTTGGGCAAATCCACTTGTACTTCTGGAGGATCGTGATCCTCTTACGCCATTTTGTGAACAACACATAATCCCCTCATTTCACCCTCAACCATCTACTCCACCTGTACAATCCCTGAATCTTTCGAGGAGGACTGACCAAGCTCGTTTGCCGAGCAAGCAAGGCTCATTTCTCGAGCGTTGATGAGGACCGAGACCGAGGCTGGCAGGGGAGGTTCGTCCGAGTGAAAATTGAAGACCTGATTCCCCCCGAGTTTCTACCATTCCCTTTATTGGGTATTTTTCCTTTTATTCTTTATTTCATTGCCTGTGTTTGTGGTCGTGCAACTGTTGCCCAATTTCCTGATGCAATCCCCCGGTTCAAGAAATGGATCGAGGGGACCTGCAAGTAGATGTCGTACTCTAAGCGTGCATGGCACCAACTTTGGAAGGGCAAATGGGAGGCCCGTTCTCATGGTGAGGTTCTTCCCTGAATAGTTATCCCCGCTCTCTTAACTTACATAGTGCTAACCTTTTCTCTTTTATTACAGGTCTGCCTAAGACCACCGAACTTAGGCCACTAGAGGAGGATGAGGATCCATCCTTGCTTGTCGAGCCCTCCATTTCGGGGCAGACCAGGGCTTCCGCGAAGGAGGAGAATAAGAAAAAAAAGAGAAAGTCCTTAGGTTTCCCGGACCCCGAGGCGAAGAAGAAGAAGAGAGAGGCCACCCAGGCCCAGAAGCTCAAGAAGAGCACTAAGTCTAGGGTACCAGACCCTGATTATCTCTACCGGCTCAGGGACGAGCCCGAAGATGAAGACCTCTTTGTCTCTCATGGGTCGACCCTCAATGAGGGGGAGCAGGTGATGACTGAGAAAGAGGACCATAAGGTCGATCCCCTCTAACTCGGGAACCAGAGGAGGAGATGGAGGTCGCGGCCTCCCAGGAAGCCACTCCTATTCCGAAGGAGGCGACCGCTGTCATTGACATCGTGGAGACACCCTCCTATACCAAGTCCATGCTCGAAGAGGCCCAAGCGGGCAAAGAAAAGTCGAGCAAGTAGGTGCAGGGCCCAGATGATGCCCTCGACACATTTTTCGAAGGCATGGATATGTACGCACTGGAGGAAGTATGGAAGGGCAGGATGGACCTATTGGCTTCGGAGAAGGAAGCTGCCAAGGCGGAGCTGGCATCGGTCGAGAACCAACTTTGGGTGGAAAAGGAAAAAGCCGATAAGTAGTCTCGGCTGAATGATGATCTTCAGGCACAGCTGAGCTCGGCCATCACGGAACGGGATGCCCTCAAACGAGAATATGCTTCACTGAGGTCCAAATTAGATATAACCTCTAATGATGCCGAGGAAATGGTGTCCCAGTACAAGGTCGATGTGGAAGCAACCGAGACCTTCTTAAAGACGAAGACTGAATACATAAAGCGGCTATCCCGTAGAGAGACCCTCAAAAAGATCCACGCGTGAGGTTTTGACCTATCGGCCGAGATTAAATAAGCTAGGAGGCTCGACGCCGAGGCAAAGGAGCTCTAGGAGTCTGAGGCTCCCGAAGGCTCCGAGGGTTCCGAGGGCTCCGACATCACCGTCGACGACTCGAGCCCTAGTGAAGACCAAGCGTAGATGCCTTAGTATTTTTCCAGTTTTCTTTTTTTCCTTATGTATTTTTGGTTTATTTTGAGGTCGTTCCATCGGGCCTTTGTAAACATATTTTAGAATATATATGAATGTTTTTCCTTTCTGGCACTATCGTATCTTTACTTACCAGCATCTTCTTGCAATTTCTATTAGCATATTGTTTTTGATACCTTAGCATAGAATCATATGTAGTTCTGGGGCATTCATTTTTCAGAGGATCGAACGAAGCCCAACTTCGATGCAACTTTGTTTGCTTGTGGCTTCGAACTGTCGATGAGATCGGAGGTTTTCAAGATGCTTTAAGTGTTTTTAGACGATATTTTTGCGTAGGATAACCTTTTAGTAGGTTTTGAATTTTTGTAAGGGCCTTACTTTTAGGTTATGGACTTCGGAAGTCTCCGAGTCGCTTTTAGGGTGGCCGTAGCCTTTTATATTCGGGCATCGCTTAATAGGTTTGGTGCCTCCAGGATTCAGTAGCCTGGGTCGTTCGAATTTTCACCAAACAACAGTCCCCGAGTAGGGGTAGCCCGTGGGCTTTAGGATCTGGGATCGAAGAAGCAAAAATGCGTAGTAACAAAGTGTAACAGAAGTGGAAATTTCTTTCATTTCTTAGTATGCAAGGTACACGATCGAAAGCGCATAAAAACTTGTGTCATGGCTAGAGTGGACTATGTAGGCACGGTTCATACGACCGTTTGGCCCTTACCTTGAATCCTAACCACCAAGCTTTAGCTTTTAGCACATAAAGTTTTCTTTTTCCCTCGCTAAAGACCTTAATCCGAGGGTAATGGCACCCAGTATTTGAGGTCGAACTCATGAGGGATCAGATACTGTTGACCTGAAGCAAACGATCATTGATTCCGGTTTGAAACCGGTCTTCAAATCTAAGGTAGCACATTTTACTGTTGCCTCGTTAAAAACCTTGCCGAAAAACCCACTTCGGGACAAAATCGATTCAAGGGAAAAAGAGTGCAACACGTGCTTTCAGACCTAATAGCTACATCCGTCCTTGGCCGATCACCTGCATATGTTAGTTCGATTTATAACATGATTAAAAAGTATTTGAGTTCGTACCTTAGCAGTAGTACCGCTTTAAGTGTGTCATGTTCCAGTTGTTCGGTAATTGTACGCCGTTTCCCGCATCGAGTTTATATGAGCCTTTGCCGGTTATTTCGATGATACGGTCCTTCCCAGTTCTGGCCCAACTTCCCTTCGTTTGGGTTCCTAGTGTGTAATGTTACTTTTCTAAACACCAAGTCCCCGACTTGAAAGTGCCGGAGGCTGGCTCTTCGGTTGTAATACCTTTCTATCCGCTGTTTCTAGGCGGCCAACCGGACCAGGGCAGCCTCCCGCCTTTCATCCAATAGTTCCAGGCTCATGTTTATGGCCTCGCCGTTTTGCTCTTTGGTCGCATACTGGAACATGAGGCTCGATTCTCCCACCTCGACTAGTATTAAGGCTTCGGCTCCGTAGACCAAGGAAAACGGGGTGGCCCTGGTGCTAGACTTTGAAGTCGTACAGTATGCCCATAGGACTTCGGGCAGGATCTCCTTCCATTTCCCTTTCACACTGGTCAATCTCTTTTTCAGGTTTTGAAGTATGGTTTTATTTATTGATTCTGCCTGCCCATTCCCACTAGGGTGATAAGGCGTTGATAGTATCTTCTTGATCTTGTGATCTTTGAAAAATTAATTTACCTTGCTGCCGACAAATTATTTTCCACTGTTGCAAATGATCTCGGCTAGTATCCCAAGTCGACATATTATGTGGTCTCAGATGAAGTTAATGACTTATATCTCCCGGACCTTTTCGAATGCTTGAGCCTTGACCCATTTAAAAAATAATAATCGGTCATGAATAGTATGAATTGAGCTTTATCGGGTGCCCATGGCAGGGACCGACGATATCCATTCCCCACTTCATAAATGGCTAAGGGGACAAGACCGAGTAGAGCATTTCTTCTGGTTGATGGATCACCGGGGCGTGTCTTTGGCAGTCGTCGCATTTCCGTACGAAGTCCTTCGCATCTTTCTCCATTTCAGTCCAGTAATAGCCGGCCATAATTAGTTTCCGAACCAAAGATTCTACCCCTGAATGGTTTCCGCAAGTGCCTTTGTGAACTTATTTCATGGCGTATTCGATCTCTCCTGGTCCCAAGCATCTGGCTAGCGGGCCATCGAAGGTTCTCCTGAACAATGCCCCTTCGACCAAGCTAAATTTGGCAGCCTTGGTGCACAGGGCCCTCGATTCTTTGGGATCCGAAGGCAATTTTCTGGTCTTCAAGTACTCTATGTATTTTTTCCTCCAATCCCAAGTCAAAACTCGTTGATTTTACTTCGGCGTGGCCTTCTTCTGTCACCGACTTCATTAGCTGCACTACTGTTCCCGAATCGAATTATTCACTCAATTGATTTCATCGGATTAGGGTTTTGCTTGGTGCATTCATCAGAGTTTTGCTCGTCTTCCGGGCCTTACTTCTTCAGGTTGCGAAGAAGGCTGGTATTATCTTCTCTTATCTAATTTCTTGTCTGTGGTGTTTTGTGTTCATATTTGTGACTTGTTGTCGTGATTTGCCTAACTGCTATCATGACTGGTTCTTGTACATCTTCTGCATATACTCCTGAGCCTTCATCTCCCCTGTATCTCCAATCTTCTGATGTTCCCGGAGTATCCCTTGTTCCTGTACCTTTCTCGGGGAATGGTTTTTGGGGATGGAAGCGTAGCATGATAGTTTCTCTATCCGCTAGGAATAAGATAGCTTTTATTGATGGTTCTTATCCCAAACCTACTATGACTTCCCCTTATTATAAGCAATGGGATCGCTGTAATAACATGGTTATATCATGGATAGCTAGCCCGTTGTCTTCAGAAATAGCTGAAAGTGTTCAATACTCTGAGACAGCTGAAAGCATTTGAAAACAATTAAATAACAGATATGGAACTATAAATAGGACCAAAGTATTTGAATTAAAAAGGGAATTAGCATCTACTTATCAAGGATCCCTTGATATTGCTTCCTATTTCACCAAACTTAAAAGAATATGGGATGCGTTGGGGATAATGTGCAGCAATCATGCAAATACTTGTACAATTGTTGCTAAAGAAGGTCTTCAGAAAGAGGAGGATAAAGTCCATCAGTTCCTCATGGGACTGAATGAGGTATATGTGGGTGTCAGAAGCAATTTGCTAATGATGCAACCTTTGCCATCTCTTGACAACAACATCCTCCTGCAAGATGAAAAACAAAGACAAGTCAATCCCGCTACACAATTTACTTTTGAATCAGCATCTTTCAATGTCAATTCTCCCAATAACAAACTTCTTCAACCACAAATTAATGTTCAGGGATATCATAGACAATTTAATCAGAGAGTCAATTTTGACCAATCTAGGTCTAACCTCCTTTGTAAGTATTGTAAGAAATCAGGACATTCTATTGATAAGTGTTTCAAGCTTCATGGGTTCCCTCACAATTTCAAGTTCACTAAAGGCAAGAAAGCAGCTGCCAATGTGGTATGGACTCTGATTTCTCTACCCCTGAGTGTTTTTCTCCCAACCAAGCCCTTGTTCCCGCTGCTAGTTCTAATGAACATAGTTCTGGGGTGCCTGGGTTGACAAAGTAGCAGTATTCTCAGCTGATTTCACTGCTACAACAATCTCATATCTCTGATTCTGAACCTCAACTCAACATTATGAGCTCTGCCAATTTTGCTGGTACTTTACTGCCTAAGAATGTAGTATATAGTTTTAATTCTACTATGCTAAGTCAATCTGATTTATTAACTTGGATAGTTGACTCTGGTGCATCAGATCACATGACCTCTAATAAAGATTACCTTATTAATATTACACCTTTACTTATTCCTTTCCTTGTTTTCCTGCCAAATGGGTACAAAATTATAGTTACTTGTACAGGTTCCTTTGACTTAACTGATTCCATTATTCTTAAGAAGTTCTCTATCTACCTTCTTCTAAACACAATCTTATTTCTGTACATAAACTCACAGATCAGTTTGACTGTATAGTTCAGTTTACCAGACTTTCATGTCTCATACAGGGCCCTTCTCTGAAGAAGCCTCTGGATCTTGGTAAACTGGACTGTGGGTTATACAAGTTTGTATGGGAAAAGCCTTCTCAGCCCCAAGCTACTTTGTCAAATTCTTGTAGCAGCTTGTCGTCTGTTTGTAATCCTGTTTCTGTTTCTTCTATTGTAAATATTGTTTCTTCCACCTGTAATAAAGTTGCTATGAATAAAATAGACATTGTTTGGCATTGTAGACTTGCTCATGTTCCTTTTATTAGAATGAAAAGTATTTCTAAAGTATCCTCTGATATTTCTTCCACATAGTCTTTTTCATGTCATGTTTGTGCAATGGCTAGGCAAACTAGATTGCTTTTCCCTGATAGCTCAATTCATAGCTCTAAGTCTTTCCAACTTATCCATATTGACACTTGGGTACTATATCACACACCTACTTACTCAGGTTCTAAATACTTCCTTACTATTGTTGATGATTTCACTAGAAGCACTTGGACTCACTTAATGGGCTCCAAGAGTAATGCTTTCCCTCTTCTTAAGGCTTTTGTTGCACTGGTAAAGACACAATTTCATGTGGCTATTCAGTGTATAAGGTCTGACAATGCTTTAGAGTTAAGAGCTAGTAATGCTGCTATTTTCTTCTTTTCTGAACATGGTATAATTCATCAAACAAGCTGTCCTCACACATCCCAACAAAATGGTGTGGTAGAGAGGAAGCATAGAACTCTTCTTGAAGCTTCTAGAGACTTGCTTTTTCAGTCTCAAGTTCCAATTAGATTCTGGGGAGATTGTCTCCCCACAACCACTTATATCATAAATAGACTTCCCTCTATCTTGCTTCAAAATAAGTCTCCTTATGAGTTGCTATTTGGCAAAAAGCCCAATTATTCTCACTTAAGAACTTTTGGCTGTCTTTGTTTTGCCACTGTTCCAATTCCTCAACGAGATAAATTGAAACCTAGAGATAATCTTTGTGTATTCCTTGGCTATCCCTTTTGCAAAGAAGGGCTATAAGTTGTATAATTTGCAATCCAAACAATGTTTCATATCCAAAGATGTGGTTTTCCATGAAGAGCATTTTCCCTTTTCCTCAAATTTCTCCTTTCATATTGTTTCTGAGTCCCCTTTGTCACCTGATCCTTTAACTTCTTTTTCCCATGATTGTCCTAAGCCTTCTTCTTCCCCTGATGTTGCTCCCTCACCCATTTCACCTCCCGGTCCCACTTCCACACCTGTTCCCTCATCTCCTACTACTCCTAACACCTCTTCTCCTCCTGACATAGATGCTGCAGCTTCTTCTTCAGTTGCAGTCCGTCATTCTGCCCCTGATTCTCCTTCTTTCAATCCTGATGTTGTGTTCCTGCACCATCCTCTATTCCCCTTAGAAAATCTGATAGACCTCATAATCATCCTTCTTACTTAAAGAATTACATCTACAAGCTGCCCACTTCCCTTTCTTGTTTCTCTTCTAAGCTAGTAGAATTTGAACCATATACATATTCCCAGGCAGCTCCTATCCCAGCTTGGCAAGATGCCATGAGGAAAGAGTTTGAGGCTTTGAAAGTAAATCACACTTGGAATATTGTTGAGCTTCCTAAGGGTAAGAAGCCTATTAGTTGCAAATGGGTCTATAAGATCAAATACAAAGTTAATGGTGAGGTTGAAAGATACAAGGCTAGACTTGTTATTAGAGAGGACACACAGGTTGAGGGAGTGGATTTCAATGAGACTTTCTCACCTGTTGTGAAGATGTCTATTGTTAAGTACTTGATTGTTGTTGCTATTAAAATGAATTGGTCTTTATTTCAACTTGATGTCAATAATGCATTTCTTCATGGTGACTTAGATGAAGAGGTTTATATGAGATTACCTTTTGGCCTCTCTGTTTCTTCTCCTTCTTCTGTCCCTTTGGCTTGTAAGCTGAAAAAATCACTCTATGGGTTGCGCCAAACCTCTAGACAATGGTATGCCAAGTTATCCGAGGCTCTTTATTCTAGAGGGTACCATCATTCTCTCAATGACTACTCTCTTTTCATCAAAGGGTCTCCAGGTCATTTGGTGATATTAGCAGTCTATGTTGATGATATCATCCTCACGAGTGATGATTTGGTTGAAATTTCAGCTTTAAAGCAGTTTCTGGATGATGAGTTTAAAATTAAAGACTTGGGTTTTCTACACTATTTTCTAGGCATTGAGGTTACTGTTTTCCCTGATGGTATTCTTTTAAATCAAAAGAAATTTATTTCTGATATGCTACAAGAGTTTGATTGTTTGGCGGTCATTTCTGTTGCTAGTCCACTAGAGCTAACCCCAAAGCTCAAGGCTGTTGAAGGTGAGGTATTGCCTTCTCCTGAGAAGTACAGGAGACTCATTGGCAAGTTGCTCTTTTTAACCCACACTCGACCTGACATCTGTTTTGGGGTTCAACATTTGAGCCAATTCTTGCACACTCCTAGGATACCTTACATGGTTGCTGCTCTCCACCTGCTCTGGTATCTTAAAGGCACACTTGAATTTGGTTTATTTTACTCTAACAACCTTAATTTCTCTGTGAAGGATTATACCGATAATGATTGGGCTGCTTTCCCCGACACTTTCAAATCTGTCTCGGCCTATTGTATATTTTTGGGAGACAGTCTTGTTGGCTGGAAATCCAAAAAGCAGCCTATGGTTTCTCTCTCATCCGCTGAAGCTGAGTATCGAGCTGTCCGACATGTGGTGGCTGAATTAGTTTGGTTGTCTCGCATGTTACATGATCTCACAGTCCCTATTTCTTTTCTGTTTCTATCCTTTGTGATAACATGGCAACTCTTCATATTGCGAAGAACCCGGTGTTCCATGAGCGTACAAAGCATATCGAAGTGGATTGTCACTTCATCAGAAACAAATTGGCTGAGGGGTTCTTCCAGTTGTCCCATGTTCCCACCTCCAACCAACTTGCCGATGTCTTCACTAAACCACTGCCTGGGGTCCTCCATCATACATTTCTAGGCAAATTGAAGGTGGTTTCCCCCTCTAATTTGAAGGGGGTGTTGGGCCTCCAAAGCCAAACACTTAAGTTGGCCCATTTATTTATTTATTCTGTAAATAAATAGTTTTGTATAGATAGCCATTCTTTGTATTGTATTGAAGTTAGCCATATTTAATAGCTTAGTCTCAATACATTGTATTAGTTTTGTAAACATTGTGGACCGGGTCTGGTGAAATATAAATAGTCTGAGGCCCAACTGTATTGAGTTGGCCGACCATTTTCTCTCATTTCACTGCCTCATTTCTATCTTTTTTCTCTGATAAGAAGCATCTAGAATCCCCAATCTCCATTGACAAATTCTTCCATTGAGCAAATGTCTTCTGTGTTATCAAAAGGTTTCTCAAAATAGGCATCATATTAGAAAATTCCCCACCTCCCAACTTACGGAGTAGCAACCTTGGTACTAAAGCATCAGATAAAACAAAACTTACTCTCTGACCAAGTTGTTAGAGTTGTAACATCAAGAGAGAGTCAACTATTATGCAAAAAATGATAAGTCTCTAAAGGACGTGAATAGAATTTATTTTTAGATATTGAATCTATAAAATCTTTCATGTTTTCTTTTCTTTAATGTAACTTAACGTGTTCTACAATTATAGTGTTTTTGACTAAAATTATCCCTTATCTATGGGAGTAGGTTCATTTCTGTCCTTCAAATATAACCAGAGCATCTTTAATCCTTTAACTTTGCTAAAGTAGAGCATCTTTGGTCTCACTAACAGAACCAACTTAAAAACTAACGGTGCTAACCCATGTGACACTCACGTGAATTTATAAAATATAAACCCACTAGTAAAAGATGACCAATTCCATTTGCACTTTTCCCCAACTCCATCTGCAGATCTACCCATTATCAAAAACCCTAGCCTCTCAAAAAAGCTTTGATGACTGAAACAAGAAGAGGACTCAAAGTGAAGAATCTTATTTATTGATCTCCAACAATGATTATTAGATGTCATGGTAGTGAAATACCCAATTATGGTAAGATTTTAGCAAGAAATACCATTTGAATTTTCATCAAACTGAAGAAATTGTGAATTGTTTTTTTTACTGTATGTTGATTCAATTTCAAATTCTTTAGTTTATCTAATGATTATTATATAACACATGACAACTTCAATTAGCTCTTATCATATAGCCTTAACATAATTGTTTTTTGGCAGACCCTGCATAGGAAGCTTTNAAGTTTTTTTTTTTGGTAGACCCTGCATACGAAGCTATTTTTTTCAGTGTAAAAGTAACACATGGTGGTACGATGAAGCATCAACCTAGCAGATATTATCTTGGGGGACGTGTAGATTTTATTGATTATGTTAACTATACGGAGTTGAATCTGTCGCAATTCAAATCCATGGCAGAACTATGTGGTTGTGAGAGAGATTCTATTACTTTTTGGCACAAGTGCGGGAGGTACGGGAATAGAATGCGACTTGTTTCTACTGATGTAGAAGCCACTGCTATATCCAAAAATATTCCAGATCATAAGATGGTTGAAGTATACTTTGAACATCTTGATTCATATATTGGAAAAACTATACATACTAATGAAGTTGGTGGAGCAGAATAAGAGAAAGAAGTAAATAGCGAGCATTCTTTGACTAATGATGAATTTGAAGACTCAGAAAATGATTTTTCAAAATATAATGAAAATGTGAATCATAGACATGAAGTTAGTGAAGAAGTTAAGAAGAAAATGGTTGCTGAAGAAGGTGATATAGATTGTGTTGACTCGGATGATACAAAGGGTTTAGAGTGTGACTCTGACAGTGAGAGCTTCAACTTTTCGATGTTCAATCCTAAAACAGACGGGGATAAACCAGTGTTGGCATTAGAATTGACATTTGAAAATAAGCATGAGTTCAAATATGCTGTATTAACTCATGAAGTTAATGAAGGAAAGTACATTAAGTGGTGTAAGAATGATAACTCAAGAGTTAAAGCAAATTATGGTCATCTAGATTGCAAATGGGAGATTCTAGCATCAAGAATGCATCGAGATAGAACATTTCAGATCAGAACATACAATCCCACTCATGATTGTAAGATTTGGAATCACCGTAACAAAGCAATCACATCTTCTTATATTGCACAAAGATATCTTAAGGCCATAAGCTCAAATGGGTCTTGGGCAATCGGTGCATTCAGAGATCACGTTAGTGTGGAACTAAGAGTTCAAGTGACATTATCACAATGCAGAAGGGCAAAGAAAAAAGCACTTGCACTGATTGATGGAGATATTAATGCTCAATACAAGGTATTGTGGAACTATTGCAATGAAATTAGGAGGACAAATCCAAATACATCAGTCTATATGAAGTTTGTTGAAAATGAGGTGCCCGACAAGCCTAAGAGATTCCAAAGAATCTATATTTGTTTTAGTGGTTGTAAAGAGGGGTTCAAGAGCGGTTGTAGAAGAATAATTGGGGTGGATGGTTGTTGGCTTAAGGGTCCAATGTATGAGACTCAATTGTTAACTGTTGTTGGGCTTGATCCGAATAACAATATCTTTCCGATAGCATATGCAGTTGTAGAGAAGGAAAGAAAGGAATCGTGGGAATGGTTTTTGAATTATTTGAAGCTTGACTTAGACATTGATGACGATGGTACTTGGACCTTCATGTCAGACAAGCAAAAAGGTTTGATTGAAGCGTTCAATGAGGTATTGCCATATGTTACTCATCGATTCTGTGTGAGACACCTCCATAACAACTTCAAGAGGGCCAGATTCAGTAGTATTTCACTCAGGAATGCCCTTTGGAAGGCTACAAAGGCTACAACAGTAAAGTGGTTTGAGGATTGCATGGTTGACATCTTTGATATAGATTCAGAAGTTATTCATTGGCTCAAGAAGAAGTCACCTACTGAATGGTCTAAATCTCACTTTTCTGAAATTGTGAAATGTGATACCTTACTCAATAATATGTGTGAATGTTTTAATAGCATGATCATTGAGGCTAGAGATAAGCCAATTATCACTCTATTGGAGAAGTTAAGGTATCACCTTATGACAAGGATGCAAGCAAATATGGATAAAGGTACCAAGTGAAATGATGGTGATATTTGCCCTAGGATTAAGGATGTATTGCACAAAAATCAAGCTAAAACAGCTGAATTTATTCCCAGAAAGTCAAATGAATGGAATTATAAGATAATAGGAGCAAGCATAATGAACAACTGGGCTGTAAATTTGCTAAATAAAAAATGTAGTTGTAGGAAATGGGATCTAACAGGAATTCCTTGCAAGCATGCCATTGCCGCGATTTGGGCTAAACATGATGACATTAATTCATATATGGATGATTGTTATAAGGTAGAAACTTATAGAACGATCTATGCATTTTCTATTCTACCTATGAATGGTCAAGAATGTGGCCTAAGTCGAATAATATTCCTCCTTTACCTCCACGATTGGAAAGACAAAGTGCCAAAGGAAGAAAACAAAAGCTTCGCAAAAAATAGCCTGATGAAGTTGGAGCAAGTAGACAAAAAATGAAAAGGAAGCAAACAAAATTGGATTGTAGCTTATGCCATAATCCAGGCCATAACAAAAGAACCTGCAAGTTAAATCGTGTGTATCCAGATTCTCATGATGATGAGACAGTGCGACAAGAATCCTCATTTCCTACTGCATCTTCTGCTCAAGTAAAGCTTCAGGTATGAGTTTATTACACATATCACTTTATTTAATTATATTAATAATACAGTAATGATAAAAAAAAATTATTGTAGGTAAGAAGAAGATCTGCCAGCTGCCAGGACTATATGAAAGCAACTCAAGAAAGTAGAGTGACTGGAGATATATTTTTTGATATGTAAGTTTCTGCTTAAAAGGATTGGTTGTTGCCGTTGGAGGTTATTTTTTGCTGCTGAAGATTGGTGAAAAAGAGTTGGGATTGCTGTTGAAGACTATATGGATAGGTTGATACGCCTAGCAGACGGTTGGGATAGCTTGATGCGAATGAAAGAGTTATTTTTTGTCGCTAAAAGACTGGCGTAAAAGAGTTGATTTTAGTAAACTCTTCATTTTGGTTTAACTGATGTAAAGGGCTATTATAACATATTTCTTAGAAACTTAACATATTTCTCTACCAAGGAGTTGAGTTCAATGAATCTTTATTTTGGTTTGGGTTTTACTTTTGCTTTTGATGTGTCGAGTAAGTGGAGATGATTAAGCATATAAAGTTTAAACCCAAACCAAAATAAAGATTCATTGAACCCTGATGGGTCAACATGATAACCCTGACTTTTCAACAAATAAGCACCAAGCAATTTCGTGGGATAGTTAACTCACTTTTCTATGGTAGTTATCAAAATGAGTTTTGTGTGTTTCCAGTTAGGACCCTTCAGCTATCCAAGTATGAACCCTGATATTTGAGCTGTTTATAAGCATCTTGAGGTTTCAGTACAATATTCTAGCTGACATTAGACTGTTCTTCTTCACATAAAATCTGTTTGAAATTGGACTAGCCAGCTACAATTGGCTGATGTCTCTTTGTGTCATTAGAGATGCAAAGTTTGTTCAGCAATGTTGTCAACTTTGTCATAGGGATAATTAGTCATTTTTATTGACTATCCCTACGTGCCTATGGGTGTAGAGTGCATGTGATAAGAATTTTGAATTTTGAATGATTCCAGAACTTTGTATGATGTGATATGAAATTAACAATCATTTCTGAAGGTCGAGATGAGATGCAATGCTTGCTGGCTAGAATCGGAAGGACAGGCCATCGCCACAACTTGTGGCCACCTTTTCTATGTCCTAGTTTTGTATGTGTTCCATATAGACATGGATTTGTTTTATGTGGTCCAGCCCCCAACGGGGTGGGTTAGTGTTGAAGAACTGGAGCGACAATCTTGGGAACTAAGGGTTCGCATCCAACATAGGCGAGACCAAGTGAATTCTTCCCATCTACCCAACTTTTGGTGGACGGGGTTATCCGATACCTATCCTGGTGGGAGGTAGCAAGTATCTAATGGATTAGTCAATATGCGTGCAAGCTAGCATGGATACCCCGTTATCACAAAAAAAATAGTATGTTCCATATAGTCATGTATATATATGCAGGTTTCTTAATTTTGGACATGATTTTGGTGTACAAATGCTATGATTCCATAATAATGTTAATACGCAAATGGTCATGGCTCCACAGATTTGTATCCTTCATTGTCTGTCCTGTGTTGCAACACCTGTGATATTCAATTTTACTTTTATAACATATTGAACTTGTGTCTACTTGAATTGTAACATCGTTTTTTTTGGTAATTAAAAACTTTTATTACCAACTGGAAGTATTTACAGCTCAAAAGAAACAAACAATAGAATTTAATGTTACCATTTTCATTTTTTTTTTTTAAAACAATAGAATTCTTATAGCACTGCCTAGCTAATACAAAGACTGGCTAAATAGCTACTATCAACTTCTCCATATTTAACTCCCCATTCCACCAGCCCATGCTAATTGGATAAAAATTTAATCCCTGCAACTTCCTAGCTAGTTTAGGTTTAAGACTTCCTCTAGAGTGTACTTCCAGAACAATTACCCTCACAAGAGTAGCAGTATACCTGGTGAATTTGTTGAAGACTCTACTACTTCTTTACTGCCATATATAGTAAATGCTTCCAGCTAGTGTCATCCTGAATACTTCAGCAGTGACATCCATCCCTTTGCAATGTGTTACATTCTGCTTCCCAGTCTAGTGCTTGTCTTCTTATCCCTTACCATTGGAGTAACCTTTCCCATATAGCTGCTGCAACATCACACTTAAGAATAGATGGGATATGCTGTCCTGGGCAGTATTACACAGGGGACAGGGGACTGGTGGTGGAATGGGGAGGTCCAAGGAATAGTGGAAACTAAGAAAGCGGCATATTTGAAGCTAGTGGGGAGCACGGACAAGGAAGAGTGGAGGACGTATAGGGAGTGTTATAAGAAGGCAAGGAGGGAGGCGAAGCTCGCAGTCACGGCGGCTAAGACTGCAGCTTTTGAAAGATTGTATGAGGATCTCGGGAGTAAAGGAGGGGATAGGAAACTGTACAAGTTAGCCAAGACTAGGGAGAGGAAGGCTCGGGACCTGGGTCGAGTGAGGTGCATCAAAGACGAAGATGGTAAGGTATTGGTGGAAGAGTCATGTATCAGGCGTAGATGGCAGGAGTACTTCCATAGACACTTGAACGAGGAAGGGGATAGGAATATCGTGCTGGGTGAGTTGGAGAACTCAGAGAGTCAGAGAGATTTTGGGTTTTGTAGGCGTGTTAAGTGTGAGGAGATTGATGTGTCAATACGGAAGAGAAGCAGGGGTAAGGCGACTGGGCCTGACGAGATCCGGATGGAATTTTGGAAAGAAGCGGGTAGGGTAGGCTTGGAGTGGCTTACTAGTTTTTTAACGTCATTTTCAGGACGAGGAAGATGCCCGAAGATTGGCGGTGGAGTTTGATGATTCCGTTGTACAAAAACAAAGGTGATATCCAGAACTGCAACAACTATGGGGGTATCAAGCTGTTGAGTCACACTATGAAGGTTTCGAAGAGGGTGGTGGAGAAGAGAGTGAGGACAGGTGTATCTATCTCTGAGAACCAGTTCAGATTTATGCCGGGACGGTCAACTACAGAAGCCATTCACCTTGTGAGACAATTGGTGGAGCAATATAGGGAGAGGAAAAAGGACTTGCACATGGTGTTCATTGACCTTGAGAAGGCTTATGACAAAGTCAGGATGTGCGGACATATCAAGAAAGACAAGATTAGGAATGAAGTTATCAGGGACAAGGTGAGAGTGACATCCGTGGAAGACAATTTGCGGGAATCTAGGCTACGATGGTTTGGACATGTGAAGAGGAGAGATGAAGATGCTCCGGTCAGGAGGTGTGAGAGGTTGACCATGGCGGGCTTGAGGAAGGGCAAGGGTAGGCTAAAGAAGTATCGGAGAGAGGTGATTAGGCAGCACATGTCGGTGCTTCACCTAACCGAGGACATGACTAGCGATAGGAAGGTGTGGAGGTCGAGGATTATGGTGGTCGGTTGACAGGTAGTTGTGAATTTCTCCTTGGTTTACCGGTAGTACTAATACTATTCTTGTATTCTTTTATTCCTAGTTCTTTATTACTTGTTATGCCACTCGTTTTCATTACCTTATTATATTATTGTTGTTATTGCTTGTTGCTTTATTTTTACCGTTCCTTAAGTCAGGGGTCTATCGGAAACAGCCCCTCTGTCTTTATAGGGTAGGGGTAAGGCTGCGTACACACTATCCTCCCCAGACCCCACGTATGGGATTGAGCTGGGTTTGTTGTTGTTGTGTTGTATGCCACCACAGTCCGCAACTTATCCCATACCCTTTCTATTAGTAGCTCAATCGTTTTTGGTAGAATGAACATTTGTGACCAAAAGACTTGAATGGAGGACAGTACACTCTTTAATAATTGAACGCTGCCAGCATTAGGACAGGACCTTAGCTGTCCAGGAATTCACTCTGTGCAACATTTTCTCAAGCAGAGGTTGGCATTGAATAGCCGATAATCTCTTAGTACTTAGTGGGACTCCTAAATACCTGATATGCAATTCACCTTTGACACCCCAGAACATCAATTATTTGCTGCTGAAACTTACCCCTCCAATGTAGTAAGTACACTTCTTGCTCAAGTTTGCTATCAAACTAGATGCTTGAGAAAACTTCTGGAAACAATCAAGCACAACCTTAACTGAATTGAGGTCATCCCTACAAAATAGCATCGAGTCATACGCAAATCCCAGCTGCACCACCTGAAGCATCACACTATTTGGATGAAATTTGAATCCATCTGCTTGTTTCAGATTCTTTAATAACCTGTTTAAATATTCCATAGCCAAGACAAACAAATAGGGAGACAATACAAAACCCTAGCCCCTACTATGCTCGAGCTGCTTCGTTGCTAGGTTGCCAATTCCATCTCCACAATCATGGCGGATGTTGAAGCCAATATGACAGCAGGACAGCCAAAGAAAGAGGACGTTCAAGAAGTTCAGTTACAGAGGGGTCGATCTCGATGCTTTACTTGACACGTCCACTGACGAGCTTGTTAAGCTCTTTAATCCTCGTCCTCGCAGAAGGTTCCAGAGAGGTCTGAAGAGGAAGCCAATGGCCTTGATCAAGAAGCTGCGCAAGGCGAAACGTGAGGCTCCACCAGGGAAGAAGCCAGAGCCTGTCAAGACTAATCTGACGAACATGATTATTGTTCCTGAGATGATTGGAAGTGTCATTGGAATTTACAATGGAAAGACATTCAATCAGATTGAGGTCAAGCCTGAGATGATTGGCCACTATCTGGCTGAGTTCTCAATCTCATACAAGCCTGTCAAGCACGGGAGACCCGATATTGGTGCTACTCACTCATCAAGGTTCATTCCTCTGAAGTGATGGGATGTCAGGTTATTTAGTGCCTTATTTTACTAAAATCTTGGATGAAGGCCACAGATTATGGAATATTTAAGTTTGAAATAGCAGTGCTCAGCCGATAAATATCTATTTTTTAGTTGTTTGTTATGAAGTTGGTGTCTTAGACTTGTTCCTTTCAAATGCTCAATTTAGGAGAGGGCATGATGAATGATGCTCACAAGCCTTGTATGTTCAAGTTCTCTCCTGATTTCCCAGCACATTCAATCTTTTCCTGATTTATTAACAGTTGAATGAATTATGGTTCCATGAGAACCTTTGCACTTTCAAAACATAGAATAAAAAAAAGCCTCTCTTAGCCTCAAAAGATTCAGACAACCTCCATTTATAACAATTGAGTACGAGACTGTCTTCACACAATTGAGTAATGTTACTTGAATCGTAACGTTACTTATACAGAAATGTGGTATTTACATTAGTTTCCTTACTTTCTCCATAGGCATACCCATTTATGAAGAGTGCCTACAGAAGTGTGATTGGAAATGCAACTCAAGATGAACAGGATAGTAGCTCAATGTCGTCATAAGTATGAGTTGATGTAAGGAAAAATCTGTGAAAAGTTGGACCAAGTGACTACTGCATACCAGAAGATGGCAAAAGGTGCCAAATGATGCAACAAGAGATTGAGAGCTTATCTAAAGGCAAGCAGGAAATTTAAGAGTGTTCAATTCTGAGAAATCCAGGTTTCTCTTCCTCGCAGTCTTCAACTCTTATTCTATTTGCCCCCCCCCCCCCCCCGAAAAAAAAACTCTACTGAACTTCAAAAGTATGTACTGCTAATGTGATGGACAACAGAGATCACATATGAGAAAAGGTAATCATTTTGTATTTAGAATAATCATGTGGCATATGCGAGGCTGGTACTGTAGTTTGGCAAACAAGACTTCTTCTTCTTCTGTGTATGAATACTCATTGCCAAAATTCTTTTGCATTTACAAGATGAAGTCAGCTTAGTATTTGAATACTCATATATCGCTCTCAAAACTGCATTAATCTTTTAGCAAAATATTAGTTGACTCATTGTCACTCTTGAAACTCCAGGGCCAAGAGAAGACATATGGCTCCAGCAAGACAGAAAAGTTCCAACTCTGGCCCTTCCGGTTACTCGAGTGACTCCCCTGCTAGACAATCAGCAATACCAGTGGATGCTGGAAACAGAAGGCCAAGTTCACATCCTATGTTTGGTGTTGGAACTGGAGTAAGCAATCCTCCAGCGGCCCTTAGGAATCTCATATCACCAATTAAGAGACCTCAACTCTCCCGCAACCGACCTTAGATGTTCTAGTAAGCCACAAAATTTACATCCAATAAGCTAACATGTGAAAAGCTGAATTCTTACAAGTATTTGATTTCAACTGTGAAGAAATATATACTTAAGATGCAACAACGGATCAGGTTTCATGATGTTTTTTCAGTGTGATATTTTGTTTATGAATTCAAGTGCCAGATACTAATATGCTAGCTGAATTTCTTTTAGTGGTGAGAAAAGAAAAATATGATGATGTAGAGTAATTTTTCATAGTTTACAGACACAAATGGATGATGTGAGATGAGTTACAATCTAATATTTGCAATTTCTCTTACACCAGTTAGTGTAGGATTCTGGTTCCACTGTAAGTCTTATCTTCTTCTATTTTACTGCCAGTCACATAATGAGCTTGTATGAACTATCTAAATGGATTAAAAGATGTGTCTAGCGGTCGCTGGAAACTACTTTTATATGTTAAGAAATTATTTTCCCGCTGCCTAATCAAATGTTGGAGAACTTGTGATTAGAATTGCTGATGCAATGTCTATCTGCCCGTTTGTTGTGTTCATAACGTAATGTCATTAGCAATTTTTCCCCTGGGCGACTATGTCACACTTTGCGTTTTTCTAAGAAAAGAGGCAAAAGAATTGATGGGCAAATATACTAGACATTTCCTAAAAGAACAAGACACAATAGAAAAATATCAATACATGTTTATCATTGTTGTACTGAAAAAGGGACAATCTTTCTTCTGTTTACCATGCTCATTTTTGCTCATTAACAGACAATGTGTGTATCTATATAAGAATACAAAAAACACCCAAACCTCCAAAACATATATATTTCATCAATTGACTAACCACCTTTTGGTCAAAACTAGAATGCTAGAATTACAAAACTTGGTGATCTACCTAAGTTCTCCTCCTCCTCTTCCTTCGATGAGCATCACTTTCACTGTCTGATTCACTTGATCCAGAAACAGGCTTTTCTTTCTGAAAGATAAGCCTTGGCATGTTCTTCAGATACTCTCGCAGATTGTCAGTTATCCCACCTAGGCCAATGGAAGTGAAGAAGTTGATAGCAAACCTCGTATTTTTGGGGTTATCCTTTGGAAACATTGACTCAAACGACTCTTGCATTGTGGGGTCATTAAGTCGCTCATTCAGCAAACGGATGCCAAAGTGCTCTGACAACTTCCTGGAATAGGATTTTGATGAATATTCGAGAAGAAGATGTAGTATCCTCTTCCGTCAATCTTAAATAAGCCAAAACATGCCAAGGCAGTGCATCAGTACTGAGTAAATGAGCAAAAAATTTAGCCACATTGCGCAGTTTATTAGTTTCAAGTCGGTGGATCATAGAGTACTGCTGCAAAAAACATGTCTCAAAATTCTTCTGGTGAACTTTGTTGATCATACATAACCGCTGCCCCAAAAGTCCATAGTAATGTAGATAAGTCCTCTCCTGACTGCAGCACTCCAATAACATTATGCATAACTCCATCTCCTGACCAGGCTCTAGTTTGATTTTCAACAGCTTATGCCCTGCTTCTTCAAAATCAACACTTGACATAATTGTTAAGTAAATAGTCCTTCGAAGATTGATCAAGTTTGTCTGTGTCTTGTCTTTAATTTTCAACTGCTGCTTGTCCTCAGATTCTTCGTCTTCAGACTCAGAGTCCTCCTCAGGCTCAGAGTCCTCGGACAATTCCTGATCTAGTATCCTCTTCTTTAATTCTTCATACTTGTTTTCATTTTCCACGAAATTGGGATCCGGCTTGAAAACATCTAATTCAACTTGCACGTCTACGTTATCACTGAGAGAGATTTCATGGGTTAATTGATCTTCCTGCTCGACAAGGTCAAGTTCTGGAAGAACAGCTGGGTAACCCTGAAACTTTTGCTTTCGCAATGCAAAAAGGTCTTCAATTAAGAACTGAACCCGTTTATCTATTTCTCCTTCATGAAGTATTCCTCTTAGTCGTTCAAAAATACCGTGCATCCCTAAGGGACACAAATCCTGAATCATCGAACCACATTCCTTAATAAAACCAACTGCAACATCAACACTATCATCAGTGGGTTTCTCCAGTAAAAGTGTAACTAGTTCCAGAGCGACAAGCTCGTTAACAACTTGCTGATTCACAAGATGAGCAATAAACTTAACGGTTGCTAATGTCTGAGCTTTGCTATTATTAGGTCTTTGCAGTTGCTGAATAATCCTTTTACACACAAGTTCACCAATCTGTGGGAATTTCGTGTTAACAACGGCAACCAGAGCTGCAAAAACATCAGTAAAAAGTGGACAACTCAATTGTGATTTCATAATTGATCTGCAAAACAAACCCCTACCACGAATTAAATTTTCGCCAAACAATTCAGGAATTATGTGTTTTATGTTGGCCTTATTGATTTTATTCAGCAGCCCGTTTATGCTCTTTTTAAGAGCAATCCAACTCTTCTTCTGATACTCTATGCTTCCCTCCATCTCCAAGCCAGAAAAATACAATATGGTTAAAAAGAGATTCAGAAATACTACGAGAAAGGGAAAGGGAGATTCAGACGATTGGAAAATATAAGAAAGACGGAAGATTGCAAGCCCTAATTTTGCCGAGTTGGAGTCTCCTTTTATAATTATGCTTAGTAGTAATTCCCAAAGGCAATAGAATTAGGAATTAGGATATTGCATTTCTTATTCCTATAGGATTAGGAAATAGTCGTTTGGATTTCTAATTAGGAAATTATCAGCTATGTCCATTTATAAGTAGTTCATTATAAAAATTAGTTAATTCATAAAATATTATTAATATTAGCCAATTAACTATTTGTAGCAAAAAAA